ACACACCACCATGGCCCTACACACCACCATAGCCTAACACACCACCATAGCCCAACACACCACCATAACCCAACACGCCACCATAGCCCTACACGCCACCATAGCCCTACACGCCACCATAGCCCTACACACCACCATAACCCAACACGCCACCATAGCCCTACACGCCACCATAGCCCTACACGCCACCATAGCCCTACACACCACCATAGCCCAACACGCCACCATAGCCCTACACACCACCATAGCCCAACACACCACCATAGCCCAACACACCACCATAACCCAACACGCCACCATAGCCCTACACGCCACCATAGCCCTACACGCCACCATAGCCCTACACACCACCATAGCCCTACACACCACCATAGCCCAACACACCACCATGGCCCTACACACCACCATAGCCCTACACACCACCATGGCCCTACACACCACCATAACCCAACACGCCACAAGGCCCTACACGCCACCATGGCCCTACACGCCACCATAGCCCTACACACCACCATAACCCAACACGCCACAAGGCCCTACACACCACCATGGCCCTACACACCACCATAGCCCTACACACCACCATGGCCCTACACGCCACCATAGCCCTACAGACCACCATGGTCCAACACACCACCATGGCCCTACACACCACCATGGCCCTACACACCACCATAGCCCTACACGCCACCATAGCCCTACACGCCACCATAGCCCAACACACCACCATAGCCCAACACACCACCATGGTCCAACACACCACCATGGCCCTACACACCACCATGGCCCTACACACCACCATAGCCCTACACACCACCATAGCCCTACACGCCACCATAGCCCTACACGCCACCATAGCCCAACACGCCACCATAGCCCAACACACCACCATAGCCCAACACACCACCATAGCCCAACACACCACCATAGCCCAACACACCACCATAACCCAACACGCCACCATAGCCCTACACGCCACCATAGCCCTACACGCCACCATAGCCCTACACACCACCATAGCCCTACACACCACCATAGCCCAACACACCACCATGGCCCTACACACCACCATAGCCCTACACACCACCATGGCCCTACACACCACCATAACCCAACACGCCACAAGGCCCTACACGCCACCATGGCCCTACACGCCACCATAGCCCTACACACCACCATAACCCAACACGCCACAAGGCCCTACACACCACCATGGCCCTACACACCACCATAGCCCTACACACCACCATGGCCCTACACGCCACCATAGCCCTACAGACCACCATGGTCCAACACACCACCATGGCCCTACACACCACCATGGCCCTACACACCACCATAGCCCTACACACCACCATAGCCCTACACGCCACCATAGCCCAACACACCACCATGGCCCTACACACCACCATGGCCCTACACACCACCATAGCCCTACACACCACCATAGCCCTACACGCCACCATGGCCCAACACACCACCATAGCCCAACACACCACCATGGTCCAACACACCACCATGGCCCTACACACCACCATGGCCCTACACACCACCATAGCCCAACACACCACCATAGCCCTACACACCACCATGGTCCAACACACCACCATGACCCTACACGCCACCATAGCCCTACACACCACCATAGCCCTACACACCACCATAGCCCTACACGCCACCATAGCCCTACACGCCACCATAGCCCTACACACCACCATGGTCCAACACACCACCATGACCCTACACACCACCATAGCCCTACACGCCACCATAGCCCTACACGCCACCATAGCCCTACACACCACCATGGTCCAACACACCACCATGACCCTACACGCCACCATGGCCCTACACACCACCATGGCCCTACACGCCACCATGGCCCTACACGCCACCATAGCCCTACACACCACCATGGCCCAACACACCACCATGACCCTACACGCCACCATGGCCCTACACGCCACCATAGCCCTACACACCACCATGGTCCAACACACCACCATAGCCCTACACGCCACCATGGCCCTACACGCCACCATAGCCCTACACACCACCATGGCCCTACACACCACCATGGTCCAACACGCCACCATGGCCCTACACGCCACCATAGCCCTACACACCACCATGGCCCAACACACCACCATAGCCCTACACGCCACCATAGCCCAACACACCACCATAGCCCAACACACCACCATGGTCCTACACACCACCATAGCCCTACACACCACCATAGCCCAACACACCACCATAGCCCTACACACCACCATAGCCCTACACACCACCATGGCCCTACACGCCACCATGGCCCTACACGCCACCATAGCCCTACACACCACCATGGCCCAACACACCACCATGGCCCAACACGCCACCATAGCCCAACACACCACCATGGTCCAACACGCCACCATAGCCCAACACACCACCATAGCCCTACACGCCACCATAGCCCTACACACCACCATAGCCCAACACACCACCATAGCCCTACACACCACCATGGCCCTACACGCCACCATGGCCCTACACGCCACCATAGCCCTACACACCACCATGGCCCAACACGCCACCATAGCCCTACACACCACCATGGTCCACCACACCACCATGGCCCTACACACCACCATGGCCCTACACGCCACCATGGCCCTACACGCCACCATAGCCCTACACACCACCATGGCCCAACACACCACCATAGCCCTACACACCACCATAGCCCTACACACCACCATGGTCCTACACACCACCATGGCCCTACACACCACCATGGTCCACCACACCACCATGGCCCTACACACCACCATGGCCCTACACACCACCATAGCCCAATACGCCACCATAGCCCTACACACCACCATGGTCCACCACACCACCATGGCCCTACACACCACCATGGCCCTACACACCACCATAGCACAACACACCACCATAGCCCTACACACCACCATGGCCCTACACGCCACCATAGCCCTACACACCACCATGGCCCAACACGCCACCATAGCCCAACACACCACCATAGCCCTACACACCACCATGGCCCAACACGCCACCATAGCCCAACACGCCACCATAGCCCTACACACCACCATGGTCCAACACACCACCATGGCCCTACACACCACCATGGCCCTACACACCACCATAGCCCTACACACCACCATGGTCCTACACACCACCATAGCCCAACACACCACCATAGCCCAACACGCCACCATGGTCCTACACACCACCATGGCCCTACACACCACTATAGCCCAACACGCCACCATGGTCCAACACACCACCATAGCCCAACACACCACCATGGTCCTACACGCCACCATAGCCCTACACACCACCATGGCCCAACACACCACCATAGCCCAACACACCACCATAGCCCAACACACCACCATAGCCCTACACGCCACCATAGCCCAACACACCACCATAGCCCTACACACCACCATGGTCCAACACACCACCATGGCCCTACACGCCACCATAGCCCAACACGCCACCATAGCCCAACACACCACCATGGCCCTACACACCACCATAGCCCAACACACCACCATAGCCCAACACACCACCATAGCCCAACACACCACCATGGCCCTACACACCACCATAGCCCTTCACACCACCATGGTCCAACACACCATCATGGCCCTACACACCACCATGGCCCTACACACCACCATGGTCCTACACACCACCATAGCCCTTCACACCACCATAGCCCTTCACACCACCATGGTCCTACACACCACCATAGCCCTTCACACCACCATAGCCCTACACACCACCATAGCCCTTCACACCACCATAGCCCTTCACACCACCATGGTCCTGCACACCACCATGGTCCAACACACCACCATGGCCCTACACACCACCATAGCCCAACACACCACCATGGCCCTACACACCACCATGGCCCTACACACCACCATGGTCCAACACACCACCATGGCCCTACACACCACCATAGCCCAACACACCACCATGGTCCAACACACCATCATGGCCCTACACACCACCATGGCCCTACACACCACCATAGCCCAACACACCACCATGGCCCTACACACCACCATAGCCCTACACACCACCATGGTCCAACACACCACCATGGCCCTACACACCACCATAGCCCAACACACCACCATGGCCCTACACACCACCATAGCCCTACACACCACCATGGTCCACCACACCACCATGGCCCTACACACCACCATGGCCCTACACACCACCATAGCCCAACACACCACCATGGCCCTACACACCACCATAGCTCAACACACCACCATAACCCAACACACCACCATAGCCCAACACACCACCATAGCCCTACACGGCACCATGGCCCTACACACCACCATGGCCCTACTCCACGTGCGTGAGCGGGGTAGTAATTTTGAGCCCCGGTACCATGACTTACACTGAGCGTAAAGTGTAATTCCTGACCCGCCATAACTCAGACGCTCTCAGCGGGTCACGCTATCTGACCCAGTCTCCCCTCACTTATACATGGACACATTTTCTGTGAACAATTATGTTCTCGCAGCCTAATGTTCTTCGATTTATTTCGAAGAACATTATGCTTATTACCGTGTTATTACTTATTGTTATTACTTTTTGTTGATTACCGTGTTCTTCCCGTTTGTGGTTCACCTTGACCGTGTTCTCCTAAACTGTTATAATTTAACTCATCTTCCGTGAACTTGTAAACAGTTGAACAGTACGAATAATAAGGGAAAATGTCTTCAGGTTTTAAATATTCCTTATTCGAGCCTAACCACTTTGGTAGGACGGTAGAGCAACGGTCTGCCTTCATGCAGGTCGGCGTTCAATCCCCGAATGTCTATAAGTGGTTGGGTACCATTCCATCCCTTCGTCCTATCCCAAATCCTTATCCTGACCCTTCCAAGTGCGATATAGTCGTAATGGCTTGGCGCTTACCCTGATAATTCCTACCCCTCCACAATATACACACCTGGATGGTTGATTCTCACATATATACAGCTATACCTTCTACATGTGGCTCCCCACCCTTCTACACGTGGCTCCCCAACCTTCTACATGTGGCTCCTCCACCCTTCTATATGTGGCTCCCACCCTTCTACATGTGGCTCCCACCCTTCTACATGTGGCTCCCCACCCTTCTACATGTGGCTCCCCCACCTTCTACATGTGGCTCCCCAACCTTCTACACGTGGCTCACCCACCTTCTACACGTGGCTCCCCCACATTCTACATGTGGCTCCCCCAACCTTCTACACGTGGCTCCCCCAACCTTCTACACGTGGCTCCCCACCCTACTACATGTGGCTCCCCAACCTTCTACATGTGGCTTCCCACCCTTCTACACGTGGCTCCCCCAACCTTCTACATGTGGCTTCCCACCCTTCTACACGTGGCTCCCCAACCTTCTACACGTGGCTCCCCCAACCTTCTACACGTGGCTCCCCACCCTTCTACATGTGGCTTCCCACCCTTCTACACGTGGCTCCCCCAACCTTCTACACGTGGCTCCCCCAACCTTCTACATGTGGCTTCCCACCCTTCTACACGTGGCTCCCCAACCTTCTACATGTGGCTTCCCAACCTTCTACATGTGGCTTCCCACCCTTCTACACGTGGCTCCCCACCCTTCTACACGTGGCTCCCCAACCTTCTACACGTGGCTCCCCAACCTTCTACATGTGGCTCCCCCACCTTCTACACGTGGCTTCCCACCCTTCTACACGTGGCTTCCCACCCTTCTACACGTGGCTCCCCACCCTTCTACATGTGGCTCCCCAACCTTCTACACGTGGCTCCCCAACCTTCTACATGTGGCTCCCCCACCTTCTACACGTGGCTCCCCAACCTTCTACACGTGGCTCCCCAACCTTCTACATGTGGCTCCCCCACCTTCTACACGTGGCTCCCCAAACTTCTACACGTGGCTCCCCAACCTTCTACACGTGGCTCCCCCACCTTCTACACGTGGCTCCCCCACCTTCTACACGTGGCTCCCACCCTTCTACACGTGGCTCCCCAACCTTCTACACGTGGCTCCCCAACCTTCTACATGTGGCTCCCACCCTTCTACACGTGGCTCCCCAACCTTCTACATGTGGCTCCCCAACCTTCTACACGTGGCTCCCACCCTTCTACACGTGGCTCCCCCACCTTCTACACGTGGCTCCCCAACCTTCTACATGTGGCTCCCACCCTTCTACACGTGGCTCCCCAACCTTCTACATGTGGCTCCCACCCTTCTACACGTGGCTCCCCAACCTTCTACATGTGGCTCCCACCCTTCTACACGTGGCTCCCCAACCTTCTACATGTGGCTCCCCAACCTTCTACACGTGGCTCCCCAACCTTCTACATGTGGCTCCCCAACCTTCTACACGTGGCTCCCACCCTTCTACACGTGGCTCCCCCACCTTCTACACGTGGCTCCCCAACCTTCTACATGTGGCTCCCACCCTTCTACACGTGGCTCCCCAACCTTCTACATGTGGCTCCCACCCTTCTACACGTGGCTCCCCAACCTTCTACATGTGGCTCCCACCCTTCTACACGTGGCTCCCCAACCTTCTACATGTGGCTCCCCAACCTTCTACACGTGGCTCCCCAACCTTCTACATGTGGCTCCCCAACCTTCTACACGTGGCTCCCACCCTTCTACACGTGGCTCCCCCACCTTCTACACGTGGCTCCCCAACCTTCTACATGTGGCTCCCACCCTTCTACACGTGGCTCCCCAACCTTCTACATGTGGCTCCCACCCTTCTACACGTGGCTCCCCAACCTTCTACATGTGGCTCCCACCCTTCTACACGTGGCTCCCCAACCTTCTACATGTGGCTCCCCAACCTTCTACACGTGGCTCCCCAACCTTCTACATGTGGCTCCCCAACCTTCTACACGTGGCTCCCCAACCTTCTACACGTGGCTCCCCCAACCTTCTACACGTGGCTCCCCAACCTTCTACACGTGGCTCCCCAACCTACACGTGGCTCCCCAACCTTCTACACGTGGCTCCCCAACCTTCTACACGTGGCTCCCCAACCTTCTACACGTGGCTCCCCAACCTTCTACACGTGGCTCCCCAACCTTCTACACGTGGCTCCCCAACCTTCTACACGTGGCTCCCCAACCTTCTACATGTGGCTCCCCACCCTTCTACACGTGGCTCCCCAACCTTCTACACGTGGCTCCCCAACCTTCTACATGTGGCTCCCCACCCTTCTACACGTGGCTCCCCCAACCTTCTACACGTGGCTCCCCACCCTTCTACACGTGGCTCCCCCAACCTTCTACACGTGGCTCCCCAACCTTCTACATGTGGCTCCCCAACCTTCTACATGTGGCTCCCCCACCTTCTACACGTGGCTCCCCAACCTTCTACATGTGGCTCCCCCACCTTCTACACGTGGCTCCCCAACCTTCTACATGTGGCTCCCCCACCTTCTACACGTGGCTCCCCAACCTTCTACATGTGGCTCCCCACCCTTCTACACGTGGCTCCCCAACCTTCTACACGTGGCTCCCCAACCTTCTACATGTGGCTCCCCACCCTTCTACACGTGGCTCCCCCAACCTTCTACACGTGGCTCCCCACCCTTCTACACGTGGCTCCCAACCTTCTACATGTGGCTCCCCCACCTTCTACACGTGGCTCCCCAACCTTCTACATGTGGCTCCCCCACCTTCTACACGTGGCTCCCCCAACCTTCTACACGTGGCTCCCCAACCTTCTACACGTGGCTCCCCAACCTTCTACATGTGGCTCCCCCACCTTCTACACGTGGCTCCCCAACCTTCTACATGTGGCTCCCCAACCTTCTACACGTGGCTCCCCCAACCTTCTACACGTGGCTCCCCACCCTTCTACACGTGGCTCCCCCAACCTTCTACACGTGGCTCCCCAACCTTCTACATGTGGCTCCCCAACCTTCTACATGTGGCTCCCCCACCTTCTACACGTGGCTCCCCCACCTTCTACACGTGGCTCCCCCAACCTTCTACACGTGGCTCCCCCACCTTCTACACGTGGCTCCCCCAACCTTCTACATGTGGCTCCCCCACCTTCTACACGTGGCTCCCCAACCTTCTACACGTGGCTCCCCAACCTTCTACACGTGGCTCCCCCAACCTTCTACACGTGGCTCCCCCAACCTTCTACATGTGGCTCCCCAACCTTCTACATGTGGCTCCCACCCTTCTACATGTGGCTCCCCAACCTTCTACATGTGGCTCCCCAACCTTCTACACGTGGCTCCCCAACCTTCTACACGTGGCTCCCCCACCTTCTACACGTGGCTCCCCAACCTTCTACACGTGGCTCCCCAACCTTCTACATGTGGCTCCCCAACCTTCTACATGTGGCTCCCACCCTTCTACACGTGGCTCCCCAACCTTCTACATGTGGCTCCCCAACCTTCTACACGTGGCTCCCCAACCTTCTACACGTGGCTCCCCAACCTTCTACATGTGGCTCCCCAACCTTCTACACGTGGCTCCCCAACCTTCTACATGTGGCTCCCCACCCTTCTACATGTGGCTCCCCAACCTTCTACACGTGGCTCCCCCACTTTCTACATGTGGCTCCCCACCTTCTACACGTGGGGATACGAACCTTCTCCATAAGAGCCGTCATCTTATGCCGGGTACTGTCGCCCCGTGACAGCTGACTAACTCCCAGGTACCTATTTTACTGCTAGGTAACAGGGGCATTGAGGGTGAAAGAAACTTTGCCCATTTGTTTCTGCCTCGTGCGGGAATCGAACCCGCGCCACAGAATTACGAGTCCTGCGCGCTATCCACCAGGCTACGAGGCCCCCTTGGTCAGGACAGTTTTTCCAAGGCTCTTTTCTTATTGGCATTGGCCTCTGGGGTCGGGTCGGGGAGCTTCATGCTCTCCTCCGGCCCGGAAGTTTCTGCTTTTTCGGTCCTGGTGGTCGTTTTGTTCGGTTAGGTTAGGTTAGGTTAGGTTCGGTTACAGCTGTCTCCTTTTCTGGCGAAAAATGAGACTGATGCTTTCCAGAGTTGGGTTGTTGATGCTTGGTTGGTTCGGCCGGCGGTGCATCAGGTTCTGTGTTCGGTTGCGGCTCTTCGTCGTTACTTGCGCACTACCCGCCAAACACACAACGAAACTACGACGTTGATACAACGTTCGAACAAGTTTTAACACCTCCTAACCAGTTATAACAACCAATATAGCAAGTTGTAACAACGTTCTAATACGTCATAAACACGTTAAACCAAGATGTAACAACTTTATTACAAGTTGTATCGAGCGGAAAATAGAGATAATTTCGGTTTGTGTTTCCAGGGTACGGCCTTCGTGGCAGGGGACATGCTTTGGGTTGATCCAGTTTTCCTTCTTTCCTGTTCCAGGTCGTGGGTCTCCCCAGGTCGTGTGCTGGATTATTCGGTCTAGCCAGACTGCGGTCTATCCCTGTGCCCACGACGTTCGTAAGTCCTTTGGCTGCTGTTTTTGGTAATAAGTCCTTGGCTGACATTCGGGCAAGGGGCTTCAGGAGGTCGAACAGGGTCCTGGCTGCACGGTACCTCGTTAATGTTCTGGGGAACTTCTCGTGCAGGTGTAGGCTGGGGTCGCGGGTTGCAGCCTCGACTTCGAGTTGAGGCGCGAGTGGTGGCCGCCTCCCGTGTATCTTGAGGTTATCTTGAGATGATTTCGGGGCTTTAGTGTCCCCGCGGCCCGGTCCTCGACCAGGCCTCCACCCCCAGGAAGCAGCCCGTGACAGCTGACTAACTCCCAGGTACCTATTTACTGCTAGATAACAGGGGCATTCAGGGTGAAAGAAACTTTGCCCATTTGTTTCTGCCTCGTGCGGGAATCGAACCCGCGCCACAGAATCACGAATCCTGCGCGCTATCCACCAGGCTACGAGGCCCCCGTATGTCCCTGTTTTCACACAGCTCAGTGTGAGGTCACACGGCTCTCCCACAGGGCTCAACAATCACCTTACTTTCCCCTATCATAAACCCCAGCGTACAATTCCCAAGAATTAATAATAACATGATTTAATGTTTTTACTTGAGATAACAGCCAGTGATACACAGTAATGGTTCGAACAGGAGCCGGGAAGATGATGATGGAGGGAGGAGGAGCAGTGGTGATGATGGTGTTACTGGTGATGCCACCGGCCACTCGCGCGGAGGTCACTATCTACATCACAAACGGAACAGGAGTTTGTGGTGATGACCTTAACAGGTTGCGCGCCCACACAGACACAAGCTGCGCCTTGCACTGCAACACAGGTAACGACCCTGAATCTATTTTCCATGCAACGGATAGTTAACAAATCACAGTACAGAACTTTAATGGATAATAAAAATAGTGTAAATGCAAATATTGTGTATAAAGCTAACAGTGAACTAGGAAGAAGGCTGTCACTCAGTAACTGTTTTCTTATTTTGTACCCCCATACCCATCCTGTCAGTGGTAATATAGAGGTTACCTTGAGGTTACCTTGAGATGATTTCAGGGCTTAGCGTCTCCGCGGCCCGGTCCTCGACCAAGCTTTAATCGTGGGTTCGAAAACACAAATATGCTTTTCTCTCTCTGTCTGTCTCTGTCTGTCTGTCTGTCTCTGTCTGTCTGTCTGTCTCTGTCTGTCTATCTGTCTCTGTCTGTCTGTCTGTGTCTGTCTGTCTGTCTCTGTCTGTCTGTCTCTGTCTGTCTGTCTCTGTCTGTCTGTCTCTGTCTGTCTGTCTGTCTATCTCTGTCTGTCTGTCTGTGTCTGTCTGTGTCTGTGTCTGTCTCTGTCTGTGTGTGATCCCGTCTGTGTCTGTCTCTGTCTGTCTATCTCTGTCTGTCTGTCTCTGTCTGTCTGTCTCTGTCTGTCTGTCTGTCTGTCTGTCTGTCTGTCTGTCTGTCTGTCTGTCTCTCTCTCTCTCTCTCTCTCTCTCTCTCTCTCTCTCTCTCTCTCTCTCTCTCTCTCTCTCTTACTGTCTCTCTCGCTCTCTCACTCTGGTGTGGGTGCCGGACGAGACTGACGGACAAGAGGTTTACAAAGGCTACGCGAGCGGCAGAGATACGAAGTCAGGCGAGGCGGCAGGATTGTCACCTGCTCCGGCCTGCCTTATCAAACCCTATCACTGTTATCGCCGCCGCTATGACGACAAGAACCTGGGATATGTGGACAATGAGGTAGCATAGGCCAGATAGCTGCAAAGTTGCCCTATCACTTTCACCATTTTACTGTCAGTAATTACTGTCTGACCCGGTTGACAGAGTCGCGTTGTGAGGGCTTCAGCTTCACAGACAGCCCCACCGTCCCGGCAGACGGCTACTGTCATCTACACGCCCACCTCGGCTCACCGGACGGCACCCCCAGCTCCACCTGCTATGTTCCTGGTGAGCTTTTACACCCTTTGTGTACACCCAGTCATGGTGACCCCACCACACACCTGAGTGTGGCTGATCTCTCTCCCCCGTGGGTAAATGGCACACCTCACTCCCCCGTGGGTAAGTGGCAGACCTCACTCCCCCGTGGGTAAGTGGCAGACCTCACTCCCCCGTGGGTAAGGGCCAGACCTCACTTCCCCGTGGGTAAGTGCTAGACCTCACTCCCCCGTGGGTAAGTGCCAGACCTTTCTCCCCCGTGGGTAAGTGATACACCTCACTCCCCCGTGGGTAAGTGGCAGACCTCACTCCCCCATGGGTAAGTGATAGACCTCACTCCCCCGTGGGTAAGGGCCAGACCTCACTCCCCCGTGGGTAAGTGCTAGACCTCTCTCCCCCGTGGGTAAGTGCCAGACCTCACTCCCCCGTGGGTAAGTGGCAGACCTCACTCCCCCGTGGGTAAGTGCCAGACCTCACTCCCCCGTGGGTAAGTGGCAGACCTCACTCCCCCGTGGGTAAGTGGCAGACCTCACTTCCCCGTGGGTAAGTGCCAGACCTCACTCCCCCGTGGGTAAGTGGCAGACCTTACTCTCCCGTGGGTAAGTGGCAGACCTCATTCCCCCGTGGGTAAGTGGCAGACCTTACTCTCCCGTGGGTAAGTGGCAGACCTTACTCTCCCCCGTGGGTAAGTGGCAGACCTCATTCCCCCGTGGGTAAGTGCTAGACCTCACTCCCCCGTGGGTAAGTGGCAGACCTTACTCTCCCGTGGGTAAGTGGCAGACCTCATTCCCCCGTGGGTAAGTGCTAGACCTCACTCCCCCGTGGGTAAGTGGCAGACCTTACTCTCCCGTGGGTAAGTGGCAGACCTCATTCCCCCGTGGGTAAGTGCTAGACCTCACTCCCCCGTGGGTAAGTGGCAGACCTCACTCCCCCGTGGGTAAGTGGCAGACCTCACTCCCCCGTGGGTAAGTGCCAGACCTCACTCCCCCGTGGGTAAGTGCCAGACCTCACTCCCCCGTGGGTAAGTGGCAGACCTCACTCCCCCGTGGGTAAGTGCTAGACCTCACTCCCCCATGGGTAAGTGTCAGACCTCCCTCCCCCGTGGGTAAGTGTCAGACCTCTCTCCCCCGTGGGTAAGTGATAGACCTCACTCCCCCGTGGGTAAGTGATAGACCTCACTCCCCCGTGGGTAAGTGTCAGACCTCACTCCCCCGTGGGTAAGTGGCACACCTCACTCCCCCGTGGGTAAGTGTCAGACCTCACTCCCCCGTGGGTAAGTGCCAGACCTCACTCCCCCGTGGGTAAGTGCTAGACCTCACTCCCCCGTGGGTAAGTGCTAGACCTCACTCCCCCGTGGGTAAGTGCCAGACCTGACTCCCCCGTGGGTAAGTGCCAGACCTCACTCCCCCGGGGGTGTTAAGTTAAAGCAAGTTAGTGCACTAAAGCATGGACACCGTGTTCTCCCATATACCAAGGCTTGATGGAAAACGTGAGTGATCTCTCACTGTCTCATTGCCTGGAGAGGATAGGATATCTGGGGGTTTAAATACCCCGGAATTCCCACCTCTTTAGGGCTCTGAGGTATGGTGTAGTGGATACAAGTACGTACCTGCCATCTTGATGGCCATGGTATATATATATTATGTGTATATATATATATATATATATATATATATATATATATTATGTATATATCTGTATATATATATATATGTATATATACACATAATATATATATACCATGGCCATCAAGATGGCAGGTACGTACTTGTATCCACTACACCATACCTCAGAGCCCTAAAGAGGTGGGAATTCCGGGGTATTTAAACCCCCAGATATCCTATCCTCTCCAGACAATGAGACAGTGAGAGATCACTCACGTTTTCCATCAAGCCTTGTTATATATATATATATATATATATATATATATATATATATTATAATATATGAATTACTATTTTACGGTCTCTATAACAGTGCCTTCAGCTGGAGCCCCAGCAATGTCTGCTGCTGCTACTCAGCCTGTTACTGCCCAAACAACTGCAACAGCTGCATCAGTACCCGCAACAACAACAGTGGGAAGTTCAGCCACTGACTCCACTTGGGTATGTAAATGGTTAACATTTTTTTTTGAGATATATACAAGAGTTGTTACATTCTTGTACAGCCACTAGTACGCGTAGCGTTTCGGGCAGGTCCCTGGAATACGATCCCCGCCGCGAAGATTCGTTGTTACAACCAAGTACTCATATTACTGTTGAGTTAAACAGAGGCTACAGTTGAGGATTTGCGCCCAGTGAGTCCTCCCCGGCCAGGATA